TTCACCAGGTCTGAAGAAAAAAAATGTTTTAATAAATTTCTTGGTCTTGTGTGTGTGTTCACTCATATCTTCAACTAATATCTGAGTGCTTACTATGTGCCAGTCAAGACTAGGTGTTTGGGACACCGTAGCAAACAACCCCAACATTGCCTTTCTCTTTACAGAGTTTACAATGGCCAAGAAATTACAAATGTGAAGAGTGTTAAATAGTAGAAGAGAGTGGGTGCAGACTGGGTTCAGTGTCTCATGCCTGTAATCCCAGCACTTTGGGAGGCTGAGGTGGACGGACCACCTGAGGTCAGGAGTTTGAGATCAGCCTGGCCAACACAGTGAAACCCCATCTCTACTAAAAATACAAAAATTAGCCAAGCAAGGTGGTGAACGCCTGTAATCCCAGCTACTTGGGAGGCTGAGGCAGGAGAATCACTTGGACCTGGGAGGCAAAAGTTACAGTGAGCCGACATCGTGCCACTTCACTTCAACCTGGACGATGAGAGTGAAACTCCGTCTTTGGAAAAAAAAAAAAAAGGAAAGGAAAGGGTGGCACGGAATATCTAGCATGAGAGCTAACCAGCCTTGGGGTTCAAGGAATATTTCCCAAAGAAAATGATGCTTAGTTTGAAGAACAATAGTAGTTGGCTAGGGGAACAAAGTCACAGGCAAATGAACAGCCTATGCAAAGGTTTTTAGGCAGGAGAAAGAAGTCTAGCTCAGCTACAGCTGAAAGATTGAGAAGGAATAGTGTGTTCAGAAATAAATTATTTAGGACACTTGCTGATATAGTTTGGATTTGGATATTTGTCCCTACCCAAATCTCATGTTGATTTGTAATCCCCGGTGCTGGATGTGAGGCTTGGTAGGAGGTGTTTGGGTCATGGCGGCGGATCCCTGACAGCTTGGTGCTGTCTTTACAATAGTGAGTTCTAGTGAGATCTGGTCATTTGAAAGTATGTGGCACCTCCCCTACCCTCTCTCTCTTGCTCCTGCTCTGCCATATGAGTGGCCTGCTCCCCTTCACCTTCTGCCACGAGTAAAAGCTCCCTGAGACCTTCCCAGAAGCCAAGCAGATGCCAGTGCCATGTTGCCTGTATAGCCATCAAAACCATAAGCCAATTAAGCCCCTATTCTTTATAAATTACCCAGTCTCAGGTATTTCTTTATAGCATGCAAGAACACCTTAACACAGAAAATTAGTCCCAAGGAGAAAGATGTTGCTAGAAAGATACCTGAAAATGTGGAAGCAGCTTTGGAACTGGGTAATAGGCAGAGGTTGGAATGGCTTGCAGGGCTCAAAAGAAGACAAGATGAGGGAAAGCTTGTAGTTTCGTAGAGACCGGTTAGATGGTTGTGTCCAAAATGCTGATAGTGATATTGACAGTGAAGACCAGGCTGACAAGCTCTTAGATGGAAGTATGGAACTTAGTGACGGGAGCAAAGTTCACCCATGTTATGCCTTAGCAAAGAGCTTGGCTGCACTGTGCCACTGCCCTAGGTTCTGTGGAAGTTTGAACATGAGAGTGATGATTTACATATCTGGCAGAAAAAATTTCTACACAGCAAAGCATTCAAGATGTTGCCTGGCTGCTTCTAACAGCCTACATTCAAATGTGGGAGCAAATAAATGACTCAAGTTTAGAATTTATATTTAAGTGGGGAACAAAGCATGAATGTTTAGAAAATTTGCAATCTTCCCATGTAGTAGAGAAAAAGCTTTTTCAGGAGAGGAATTCATGTGAGCTGTGAAGTAACCACTTGCTAGAGATATTTGCGTAACTGAAAGGGAGCTAAGTGCTAATGTCCAAGGCAGTGGGAAAAGTCCTTGAGGACAGACATTTCAGAGACATTTGAGGCAGCCCATCCCATTACAGGCCCAGAGGCCTAGGAAGGAAGAATGGTTTCATAGGCCAGATCAAGGGCCCCAGTGCCCTATGCAGCCTCAGACACTGCTTCCCACATCCCAGCTACTCAAGCTTTAGCTAGGATTCAAAGGGGCCCAGGTTCAGCTCAGGCCACAGCTCCAGAGGGTGCAGGCCACAAGCCTTGGGGGCTTCAACATGATGGTAAACCTGTGGGTGCACAGAGTGCAAGAGTTGAGGCTTGGCAGCCTCTGCCTGGATTTCAGAGGATATATGGAAAAGCCTGGGTGGCTAGGCATGGTGGCTCACACCTGTAATCCTAGCACTTTGAGAGGCCAAGGTAGGTGGATCACTTGAGCCTAGGAGTTCAAGACCAGCCTGGGCAACATGGCAAAACTCCATCTCTACAAAAAATGCAAAAATTAGCCAGGCCTGCTGGCACATACCTGTTGTCCCACCTACTCAGGAAGCTGAGTTGGGAAGATTGAGCCTGGAATATCTAGGCCCACAGTGAGCCATGATGGTGCCACTGCACTCCAGCCTGGGCAACAGAGTGAGATCCTGTCTAAAAAAAAAAGCCTGACTCTCTAGACGGAAGCCTGCTGTAGGAGCAGAGCACTCACGGAGAACGTCTCCTAGTACAGTGGCAAGAAGAAATGTGGGGTTGAAGGCCCAACACAGAGTTTCTACTGGGGCACTGCCTAGTGAAGCTGTGAGAAGGGGACCACCATCCTCCAGACTGCAGAGTGGTAGAGCCACTGGCAGCTTGCACCCTGTACCTAGAAAAGCTCCTGGCTGTCAAC